CAAATGCGGGAATCGGGTGCCGCACTCTTGTTATTATCTACAGACCGTATTTCCCAATACGGCAAATACGGTCTGAATCCGCCCCTGCCTAACCCTAAACATACCTCATATAAAAATATAAACATAATACTAAACAACCTAAAACTACCTCGGGTACATATCTGTAGTACCTGATACGACAACGACCCCACAGGGGCGTGTACAGGATTTGTACCAGGGGGGGTCTAACCGTAACCCAAACTTGCAAGCACGCGAAGGGGGCCCTCCCCCAGAAAATTTTCGAAATTAGACCACCTTAGATGCGTTTTCTGCGCGAGCAGGGGGGGGGTCCGGACCCCCTGGACCCCCCCTTGTACACGCCCCTGCCCCATCTGCACTAGTAAGCGGTAAGGTGCCTAAAGTGGATTTGCGCCAATTTCTAGAACACGATTGGCCTAGATAGGCTACAGTCGTTACAGAGTTCATTCACTGGCAGCAAGAACAAGCCCGCACGTACAGCGGCCCTTGGGCCCACACGCGCCCATTGACTATAATATTATAATTATAACAATAGGTCAATAGTCAATAGCCTTGGTCAATAGCACTAGCAGTTATTATAGTCAATGGGCGCGTATGTGCTGTACGTGCGGGTTATAAGGGCCACATTCATTGAATACGATTATTTCACTATGCATAGGTCATAGGAACTACTGACTATTGTGACTTATTTAAATATGCACTAAACTACTTACCTAGTAACTAGCTTACGTTCCGGCAGTACCCCGGGGGACATAGACCCTCTCAGCGTAACTAGCAAACGGTGGTATTCAGGCACACAACACTACACATTACGCTGCAGACGCTCACAACGCTCAGAGGCGTTCAGCAATCACTCACATCATTGGCCGATTTGTTTACAAGTTACCGCCCACCTAACTTCACCAGTAGAGGGCGGTACCCACCAAGTGAATGTCTCTTTCGCGCGCGCACCACTCACAGCCCAAACTCCACAACAGGTGGCGCTCTCGCTCTGGCTCAATTCTACTGTCCTGAGTGTGGGAAGGGGCACTGCATGCAGTTTGCTCACAGCCACGGCACATACAGGCACTTGAAGCGTTTCAATAAAATATAATGCTAAATAAATACGAAATATATTTAGTACCAAATTCTTAATGTTTCTATACTCTCTTTCACCTAGTATTAATCTATTATTGCCGACAGTTTCCTTCAAACGTACATACTTACTAACTTAGCTTGCTTTGTTGTAATTTACATTCAAGATTGTTTATTTATATTGTCATTACTGTACGCATTCTGCTCAAAGTTTGCTTGACATAGGAATTATCTCTGCTTATATCTTGTATAACGTTTAAGCAATTGTGAATCATTTAATTTTTGTATCTTCATATTTGTATTATTCTTCACTTTGTTCAGTTTCACTCTTAAAGTTCACTCATAGTTAATGGAAAGCACATTTCATGGGCCTTTCAATAAAGTTATAAAAATGGTAGGTCAGCGCTGAAACAAAAAAGTTTTTCACTCTGTCCATTAGGCCATGTCCTCAGAAAATGTCTGATATCTGACCTTTCCCCCACAGCCCTTTGACCTGTGACCTCCAATTTTGCACTGGTGATGGGTTTCCTGCCCATCACACTATACACCGAATATTAAGAGCATAGGTGGAGCCGTTCAGATTTGTGCCGCAATTCCGTATTTCCTCCTATACCTTAAGTTAAGGGGGAAATATTCCCCCTCCGTTTACACATCTTGACCTTTGACCATTGACCCCCAAATTTGTCATGATTTGTCATTTAGATGATCTAAAAATGATGAGAAGGAAGATTTATTGACTGCTTGCCTACGACTGATGCAGCTTTCTCAAAGAATTTGTCCACCATTTTGTAGAAGCTGGGCTCGTCATCAGTGGCACTCGCTGGAGGAGTGCTGGATTGCGTGGCAGATGCTCTGATGTGCGCTGGATGACAGAGCTGCATTTGTGGTGACCGGCAGCTAGTTGTCTGGCACATCTTCAGCCCTGAACCTAGTGACCGCAACATTCTCATGATTCTGTGCTGAGGTGCTGTTCGATCTGTAAATATGCCCACAAACATGTGCTTATGTTAGTATATTAATGTATAGGTGCGTATAGTATCAGTGTTCAAAATTATGGAAAAGCAACCAGCAGCTTTGCTCCTTGCAACGTTCAGTTTGTTGCCTGCTCTCAATGTTGGCAGCAAATAGTTGCTGCCTAGATATTCATAATAAACCATAGTAAAAGCACCAGATTCTGCCCGGGTAAGTAAATTTACTGCCTGCATGCACTGGCAGTTCCAACAAATCAGTAGAAATAAAAACAATGTATAATCTTATTGCGCCACTAATAACGCTCCTATCTGCGGTAAACAACTCCTCACTGCAAAAGAAAAACCTAACGTCAGCGCGAATGCTGACTCTCTGCACTACGCTGCATACTCCCCATACATAATCCCATAGAAATACAGGATTATGTATGGGAGCTCGTATGCAGCACAGTGCAGAATCAGCATTCGTACCAATGTTAGGGTTTTCTTTTGCAGTGAAGTTGTTTACTGCAGATAGGAGAGTTATTAGTGGTGCAATAAGATTTATTATACATTGTTTTTATTTTTACTGATTTGTTGGAACTGCCAGTGCCTGCATAGTGAATTTAATAAAAAATTAATTTCTAACCATTTATGATGCAGACTAGTATGTGTATTACTATTAGGAGTATAGTAATTAGTAATAGTATATATATATAATACATGTGTTAATGATGAGCCTAGTTGGGGAGTTGTGTGACTAACCCATTTACATTCCATGGTTGGATTAATCCTACTACTACTAGTAGTGCTGAAGGGGTCGTTGTCGTATCAGGTACTACAGATATGTACCCGAGGTACATATATGTATACACAAAGTGTACCAGACTTGTACTACAGAAGTGTACCCTAACCCTAACCCCAGTGGCGGATCCAAGGGGGGGTCATGGGGGTCATGCGACCCCCTCTGACCAGAAAGGAGGGGTCACCGCTAACTGTGACCCCCCCATATCGAATC